ATTGTTTTTTTTTTGTTGTAGCTAGTATCGATTGAAATAAAATAATTTAATAAATAAAAGAAATAGAAAATAATTGGGCGAACATACTATTAGCTCTATGAAAACCTAGATTTTTATGTATGATAACTGCAATATTTATACAAACTTTTTTTTACCTGCTATTGTTCGAATTTATTCATTAACCGCTTTTGTTTTACCTTTGATTAATTACAATCGATCGATTTACTCTATCTTAAGTATGAATCGACTATGTTATTCTATTCTATAGAATATTTTTCGCGATATACAGAAACTAATAAAACAATCCTAATTACCCATGAAACTTCATCATTCGTTCGCTTATTTTTCTTTCTTTCTCTCTTTCTCTCTCTGTCACTATGTATGATTTGTAGAATAATAAAAGGACTAACTATGAATAATAAATAAAAGACAAAAGCAATAGTATAAATAGATAGAAGGTTAAGAAGTCGGGGTTCTCAGACTTTTTATACCAATGATCGATTTATAAGAGTTTGATGAACTCATTACAAACAAAAAATGCAATAATCATAAAAAGTCAAGCTTTGAACTCTTTGATTGATATTACACAAGAGTGATTATACTATAGAACTTTTAGCTCATTTACATTATATTAATGTGATTACGTCTTTAGAATTAAACTAAAAACAAAACGCATAACAGTATATTCAAACGAACAATTAAGATAAAGAGTATTATTGAATTCTACCTCATATGTCAAAAATAACATTTCATTTCTATTGGTAATTTCTTTTTATTATACTAACTGCATCCGAATAGTACGCAATTAGTCGATGCGCGTTCGCTTATGATAAGAAATAAAAATAGAATTATTATAGTTCGATAAATCAAAAGAAAAAAAAACAAAGCAAAACAATCAAAGTTCGATGTGAAAATCTAATTACCGTAATACCACTATATCCATTTTTGTTATTGTAAAACAAAAAGAAATAAAAAGCGTTTTATGACGATACTAAATAGTTCATAGTATCTGTTCTATCATCTTATAGAACTGATAATTATCTGTTTTTTTTCTTAACAAAGACCAGAGAGATAATTTTTATTGATACTATTATGAATAAAATATTAAATATTGTCAAGTTTTCAATATAAAACAGATGTTAAACTCTAAAAACTCTCTTCAAAAAAAAAAAACAAATTTCCTATTTTGTTTTATTTAATTGACAAAATTTTTTTTTTTTTTTTTTTGATGAAAAAAATGTCGAATAATAATACAAAGAAAATTCATGATGTGAAATGATAAGAGACTATTGAAGTAGTTCAACATCGACGCATATATTCGAAACCGGAACACTTACATATCGACTTTTCCGCTTCACCGGATACTTGACAGAGCGTATGAATACACTCGTTTTGTCTTGAAAATAAATGTGAATCAATATAACTAACGAATCAATAGTATAGAAATGATTGGTTGCTGAATAAGGAAACGCGTACAAAAAGAAACATAAGAAAGCACTCATCATTCGTTTCTAAACCGAGAAAAGATCAGAACACGTCTGCAAGGCATACTTACTAAACGAAAGAATATTTTAGATGTCGAAGAAAAAAAAACGTAGATGATCTATTGAATATGTCAATACTTGAATTTTCAATTAGTCACACATGAGATAGTTGTCTTGTCTGATTAATATCAGTTTTTTTTTTTTTTTTTTTTTTTTCATATTATTTTCTATCAAAATGATTGTAATCGAGTGCAAATAAGAATGATTAAATTGTTGTTCTTTCTAAAATAGATCGTTTAAACGATATATATTGAAATAAGATGATTTCTCTCTCTCTTTCTCTTGAGAATATTTTTGAAATACAATCATACGATTGAGAAATTCTTCGGAACAAAATAGAAAAAAACTAATACATCACTTTGATACTTTTTTTATGTTTCTTTTTCTTTTCTTGTCAGATTGATTCTACGATAAAGACGCAATATAAAATCATAACATTGCTTTTTTTTTTTCTATATCGACAACATTTCCTTTTTCTTTGTTCTTATGGAATATAAGTCGACTATGTCTTGAAATTACATTTCTAATAACAAAAAACAAATATCCGTATTAAGAAAAAAATAAAATAAAACGTATTCAATAACCTTGTTAAATGAATAAACAATTTATTATTTATAAAAGCATATAGTACAGATTAATATAATCTAATAATGAATTATCGAAATGTAACTTGACAAAATATTCGTTCGTTTTTTTCGTTTATAGAAATTTGACAATATTGAATTAATAGAAGTGAAAATTCTAATGAAAGAATAAATATTTCTCTATAAAAGTTGGTATAATAATGATACATTTGTCAACAGTGAACATTTTGGTGACCTACATCGGGTCAATCTGTACCAATTTCTATGGAAAATAGTTTTGCAACATGAGTTCATGAGGGAATTACTTCAAGTGTCAGATCAATTTTCGACCAAGACAATGTTTATTTGATAAGTATTTGTGAATGATAGAAAAGTCTAGAATGGTTTGATTTATTGGGCCTTTACTCTTAAAATATCGAAATTTTACTAAGTTTTTCAACAAAAAAAATTCTGGTATCCTTAAATTGACTTTGAACTTCAAGTTTTATGCAAACAAAGTTTTTAATTAGATTAATTGATTGTATTTATTTTAGCTTTTCTAATATTTTCTTCCTGAAGATATAAGTTATATGAACAAAATGTACTTTTACATATGAGAGAATCTGGAATATTTCAGGATAGAAGATAGTAGAAAACTTACACCATACTCAATGAACTAATATCATTAAGGATTTTGTTAATTGCAAAGTTTGAAGTCGACACTCGAAAGTTGATTGTCAACATGACCCGATGAGTAAATGCATCTAACTGATAATCTTAGTTTGAGCTCATAGTATAGATAAAAATCCTGAATGAGTTTGTTCCATTAACCCTTTGTTCTCGATTTATGATCATTTTACTGAACCTTCAACTTATTTCAGGATATTATGAGAAAAATCTCAACAAGAAGTTTCCACTGCTGATTCCTTCCAATAATAGCTCTTATGATCTTTATGACGTTCTGAAAGTTTCAGTTCAAACGGATGCTTCTCTGTGAAGATATCATATGTCGAAAAACTGGCTTCTTTTTTGAGCTCTTATGTGAAAGTAACATTTATTACAAACATGTTATCTCAAAAGAGAAACATATGTTTGAGCTGAAACTTTCAAGATCTGTTGTTAGGATGAATTTCAAACCGAAACTCTTCGTTCCGATTTTTCTTGTGATATTCTGCAATAAGTTGAAAGTTCAGTAACATGGCTCTAAGTCGAGAAGAATGACTTTATAGTACGAACTCTTTCAGAATTTTTATCTGCACTGGAAGCAAAATAAGTTGATCAGTCGAATGGATTTTCTCATCAAGTCATGTTGACTATGAACTTTTGCACAAATAAAGGTTTAAACAAGATTGTTCCATGAAGCAAGTATTTCCGTTCTTGAAATATCCAATATCCGAAACTCTCGCATGTGTAAAAGTAAACGTTGTTGATATATTTACATTTCCACCACAAGAAAATATTAGAACACTTAAAACTTCCACAATCAACTAACTTCTTGAAAACTTTGTTTATACAAAAGTTTGAAGTCGAAAATCAATCAAAGCAATTACAACTTTTTATTGAGAAGCTCAGTAAAATTTTTCGATATCTCGACGTCGAAAAGTGATTTGACACCTTCAAAGATTCTAACATCAATCATACCTGAATGATTATTCTGAAACTCTTGATTTTTATATTTTCACATTTCTGAAACCAAAAGTTATATTCGAAAAAAAATCTCTTCATATTGAAAAATGAACAAAAAATAATATTACGAAAATATTTGTCTTATGATCGAAAATAAGTATTTCATGAATATTTTTCTTCAGTTGATATTCACACACGAAAAATATATCCTGCTGTGCAATCAGTCAATCAATCAATCAAAATCACTCCGCCTTTCTTAACATGTTGACAGTTTCCAACTGTGCAATATTGAATATTTGAATGAAACATGAATATGAACAATTGATTGTCTGATAATTTAACCTTTCGTTTTTTTTTTCTTGTTCATTCTTTAAGAAAAATTTTCTATTGAAGACTATATCGTGCTAGATGAAATTGACATATTAATTAGTTCAATGCACGAGTCTCCTGTTGTTTTAACTTACTCGCTTTCCAACTGTTACACATTTCTTTTATAACATAGAATAGAATCGACTGATGGCAATAACTTCAAGTCATTCTTCATTTTTTTTCAAAATATATTTGTTAAGATGGAAAAAATGAAAGCACAAGCACAACAACAACAAACAACAAAAATGATCAATAAAAAAAAACAACAACCACCACCATCATCAACAACAACATTTGTTGTTAAACGTAACTCATCATCAATACTTCAATTAGAAAAAACACGTCGTATTGCAGCTAATGCACGTGAACGTCGTCGTATGAATGGTCTTAATTCTGCATTTGATCGTTTACGTACAGTTTTACCATCGTCAATGTTTCAACAACAACGACGTTTTTCAAAATATGAAACATTACAAATGGCTCAAAGTTATATTGCTGCACTTCAATCAATTTTACATCATAATACATCATCGGATAAGGATCATAGTCTTACAAATGTGAGTAGTACAACAGATGAAGATATGGATAATCAAATTCATGATTATTAGCAAAAGAAAAACTTCAAAAAAACGGTTTTCTTTCTTTTTTTTTTTTGACTGATTTCTACTATAATCATGATAATTGTATTTTATCAAAAAAAAAAAAAAGATTTTGGCTTGACAAAGAAAAAAAAAATATAAAGAGAACGCAATAAAGCAAAAGAAAGAAAGCACAAAACCTGAGACATGGACATACGCACTCAAAAACGAGAAAGACACATTTTTTCAAATTAAAAAAAAAAACAGGAAAACAAAAAAACTAAGACTAAGCGAAGAAAATACGAATTGATATTAATGATTTAATCTAAACAATTTGTACGATGACGATGATGTGATTGAGTACTACTTGATGACATATTATTTATATTATTTGACTCTTTTAAATGATGTTCCATATTTGAACGAGCTTTTTGTAAAACATCTAATGTTGGCCGTACTAAAATAGAAAAAGAAAAAATGAACGTTATTAAAAAAATATCATGATTTCAAATTTTTTCACATCATTTGAATTCACATACAAGAATAATTCTTTTCTATTTTTAGATAAATAAGAAAGTTCAACTATTTAGTTTAAAGTCATTATTATAAATCAAAAGATTGTATAATGACCTTTGACAAAAATAGTAACAAGAAATTATCTTGTTGTTAATTTCCGTTTTATTTATAATGTATAATCTTTAAACAGAGTTCCCACGTAATAACCTTTTTTTGTTTATTGTTTAAATTGTTCCTTTTTTTGGAAATATTAAAAAAAAATTACTCGACCTAAGCTGTTCCTTATTCTGGTACCAATAGAATGTCATCGAGTGCTGTGAAAATATATGTGTATTTAAAGTGCTATTTTAAAAACTGTGAATGTTATTATAAACTGTTAATAAGTTTGTAAGATACAAACATTAGCATTAGAGATGACGCACAAAAAAATAATAATAATAATAAAATCATGCAGCAAACAATAAAAATACGTTAACTAGATGAAATAAAAACTAAATTGGCACATGCATTAAATATTTAGTTAACTATTAGTGAAATTTATTGTGACAGGTGTAGGGGAGGGAAAGGCATATATATATATATATTGGCCGATTGTTTACATACAAAAAAAGACTTACGTAGCAATGCCAAATAATCGTCTGTATTAGCTTTTTTGTGATTTGCTTTCTGCAAAAAGTTTAGATTAAATAAGACAAACGAAGCGAATGTTATTTTTTTTGTTTCTCCTCATATATTTTGTATATTCAGAAAATAAATAAAAAAAATGAAGAAAAACAAATTCTTTTTTTGATTTGAAAAATACTTACTGTCAATTGAGTAAGTAATTGTTCTACATGAGCTGATTGTTCTTTATATTTTTGTTTTAAATTTTGTAATTCTTGCATATAATTTGATTGAGATATTCGAAGTTCTTTATTCTAAAAATAAAAGAGACAAAAAAAATAGTTTTTTTTTGTTTTTTGTTAAATATCAAAAATAAATAAGAAAATTTACTTCATTGGCAAGACGTGGATCATTAAATTGATGTTCATTATAACGATTCTTATTTGGTAAATATGCTGACCAATATGATTCCATTAATCGGTAAGTTTCTTCTAAACTTGTAAGACATTGATTAAGAGAATTTAAACGATGTTCAAGCCATTCTATTGATGGGTCAGTCATTGATGTTGTCTAATTAGAAAGAACAAGAAAATATATCATACAAATTGTTCTTTGAATCATAAATAAATATAGTCTATAAAAAAACGTGGTCTCACTTTTCGAGAGTTCTTGAAAAACAGCTGCACCGGATCAAAAGCTTTATTTTTTGTCAAAACTCTTAGCGCCTTAGTTTTCTTACTTTAATAATTATTAATACTCATCAAATGAACATCGTCTTAGTTGAAAAGTAAGTTGACTATTGGAAAGATTTCCTGATAAGATAATTTGCAAGTATTTCGAGATAATTATTTTGTAAATCATCTCAATCAAAACAAAAAGCGAATGTAAGTTTCACAATAGTATCTGATTCTAGATTAGTACACATGTAGATTTGTAGAGGAAGAGTTTTTCCGTCTAATAATGAATCATATGTTTGGTTTTTGGAATCAAACCTTTATGGGTCGAATTTAGTAGAAATGATCAAACACATCCATCAACCCTCTAATTACGACTCGAGAATAAAAGAAACTTGATTTCATATATCTCGATTCATTGATCATTAAGCTTATGGATGATAAATTATTCATCATCTAAGACTGATTATACTGGTGACATGTTGAAAAAAGACAATGAAACTTCAATATAAATTCTCTTGTATATGAAGATATGTAAGTTGAATTGTTTTTCTCATATCGATGTAGTAAAAAATATCAGAAGAGTTTCTAAACTTTCATTCTTTGAATAATTTTGTTCAAAATGCGACATATTTTTGTTTGAAGTTTCATATGTTTATACGACTGGTTCTAATCTGAGTTTTGAAGGATGTCCTAAGAGGCCAACCCAAGAGAAAAAAAACGAATATGCCGTAATTTAGCGTACTTCCACAATATGTCATCACTGTGCATCAGATCTATTTAGCTATTTCAAGTCTCTGATCAATTTGTGTTACTGTATATTAGCCGGAGTCCAGCCTACGTAAGTCTATCTGATAATAAAGCCCAAATACTTCATCGTACTCTCACTTTGGAAGTACAATGAAGTATTTGGACTTTAGGGTGAAGGTGACTTACGTAAGTTGGACTCCGGCTAATATACTGCAACACAGATCGATAAGAAATTTGAAATAGCTAAACAGATCTGATGTACAGTTATAGCTTAGACTGGAAGTACCCTGAAGTATAGCATTTTTCCCCTTGGGCTAACCTCAGAATTCGAAAAACTCTTGTAAGGTCTCTAATGAATCTTTTATATTTTAAAACTATTATGAATTAAATAGAAAAACGATTTATATATATATATATATATAAACATACATGTTTTGATCGAAGTTTTTCTTTAAGTTTAACTTCAAGTGCTTTTAATTCAATTCTAATGTTAGCTATTAATCGTCGAAGATTCTCATGATCTTCTAATTCACCAACAATATATTTTTTTCCAAGATCTTAAAAACAAAAAAAAAGAAAATTCTTCGTTATTATATAACATACAAAAAACAACAACAACAATAACGTACTTATTTGTTCAGTTGCTAAAATAAAATAATAAAATATTTAATTAAAAAGTAAATTAAAACAAAACAAAAAAAAAAAAATTTTTTTTTTAATTACCAAGTTCTGTTGTTGATGATCCAAGAGGTCTTGAACGTTTTTCATCCATCATACTAACTAATGATATATGTTCAGCACCTATTGAACTTGTTCCATCAATAATACGAAGATCAGGATATGAAACACCACGACCAGAAAATGAAAATTCACGTGCTGCTTTTGTTAGACGAATATTTTCATCTAATTTAGCTTGTAATTCATTTTGTTTATGAATACTTCGTTCAAGATCATGACGAAGACGACGCATTTCTTCTAATAATTCAGACATTTCACTTGTTCGAATTGTCATTTCACCTTTACCACCATCTAAATTTTGTAATGTGATTTTAAATATAAAAAAAAAAGTTTAAGTAAAAATAAAATATTTTACCACGAGATGATATTTGTTTTTCTAATAAACTTATTTGTTTTTCATAATGATCAATTAAAGCTTTTTTATTCATAATTTCATTTTGTAAAAGTTTTATTTCAGCTTGTAATCTAAAAATTTAATAATAAAACAAAAAAAAAACAGGATTTTTTTTTTTAAATATAAACCTTTGATTTTGATCTTGAGCTTGTTCAAGTTGAGTTTTTGTTGATTTTAATAATTCAACTTGTAAACGTGCTTGACGTAAATCATTTTGTTTAACATTTAAATCATCAACTAAATCAGTATGAGTTTTTTCTGATTTTAGGCGATATTGATTTAATTCAGTTTCATGAGTTTTTTTCAAACTAAAATATATAAATGATATCAATTAGAAATTAACTTAAATCATATGAAAATAGAAATCATCAATTTTTTCTCATTAAAATATATAGAACATACAAAAAAAAAACCAATAATGTTTTCATATCATAAAAAAAGCTGTAAGCACTTTGTCGAAACTCGGTCCTATTCTCAGGTGATATCTGAATAGGAACCTGCAAAATCACTTTTTTTATTCCCGGTCTTTGACAACAGCTTCATTTCTAAAATCGAGCAACTTTTTTTAACGATCTGTGTACTTTTATGAATACATAAAATTGATATAAATGATTTTGATTCATTACACCTGTGCATTTGAAAAACTCATAGTTTTGCAGACAGACTCGCAATCACCAAAGACTTTTATAGAAATAGCAAATAAAAATATCTCATTTACAGATCTTTAATCATGTCAAAATAATAAACGTGAAAAAATATTACATAAAAACTGGCCGGAACCAGTGTGAAAAATTTTTAGTCCCGGTCTCGGTCCCGGGACCACTTTGCAGTTCCCTATATCTGAAGCTTCTATCTTTATAATATATATCGAAAAGGTAAATACAAAAGATAATTTGCTGATGTAGATCATCGAAAAAACAAACGAATGAACTTACTCATTAAGTTCTTTTGTTAATTGTCTAATATGATCATCTTTATCAGTAATTTGTCGTTGATATTCTTGTTGTGTTAAAGTATAACGTGTACTAAAAAATACAATCGATAATCATGAATTTAAATTTTCTATTCGAAAATATATTTTACCTGTCGATAACACTTTCAACACCGCTATCTTTTTTGTTCAATGATGTTTCTAAATAATAATAATAATAATAATAGTAAAATATTCAATTAAATATCAAAATCTTTAATTATTGTATATGTTTAGGTGACAGTTAAGAGTAAAAAAAAAAAGGAAAGTGGATAAATACACATATAATGTTTTATCTTATCGACTTTTCTTAGTAAATGTTTAAAGCAACAAAAGCAACAGTTAAGAACGGTGAATGTATATATTAAAAAGTAGTGAAATAAGTATAAGAGAGAAAAAAAAGAATGTGATTTATTAAAATCAATGTGTCTGTACAATACATTATTATTATTTATTTTCCTTCTCTGTCTGTCTAGAAAATTTATTTAATAAAATAAATATTTTTAATCAAAAAATAAAAATAAAACAAAATAAAAATAAATAATATTAACATACTTTTTATTTTATCATATTCTTGTAAAATAGTTTTATTTAAATCAATTATTAAATCATCAATTTTATTCTGTTTTTCATTGAATATAATTAACGGAAGATCATTTTTCTAAAAAAAACACATGAGAAAAGTCAATTTAAGATGCAAAAGGAATTAATATACATTTAAATTTAATACGTTTTAAACTATTTACACCTTAGTTTATATTCATAGAGAATTTAATAAATATCTTATAAAGGAAATTTTCAAAAGGATTAGTTACTTTTCAGTTGGATCAAGGTATTCATAATTTATTAGATTCTATATGATTTCTATTATTTCGATTCACAAATGATTAATTAATTGAAAAGTTTTCGTTGTTAGTTAACAAACCTTGGATGATTGTGCGTATTGATATAAATTTTTATTTATTTGTTCAATATAATTTTGTTGTTTTATAATAAGATTTTGATATTGTTGTAATGTTATTTGATTATATTCACTAGTTTTATTAAGTTTTTCAAGTTGTTTTTTAAGTATATTTGATTCATTTTTATAAGTTTGAATAACACGATTTAAATTCTAGAGAAAAAGAAAAATAATTTTATTCATATTTGAAGGAATAAAAAATCTAAAAAAAAAAAGAGTGGTTGAGTATACGAATAGATGTTTCAACGGATCTACAGACCAGAGATGTTCATCGCGGTTGAAAACTGACCGCTACCGCACCGCGGTGATAAAAACAGAAAACCTACCGCGACGCTGCCGCAACGCCACGAAAAATAACCATGCCGAGACCACACCGCTGCGGCGATGATTGTTAGAATAATGTTGTGAATTTTACGATCTGTGACTGTTCACGACTAGAACTGTTGTTACCAATCGATAAGATTCGTTGAATCTCATAGTTTTGCACTTGCAAACATTGAAATTCTGTTCGAATTCATGCATTTTTGCATTGTTCTCCAAAAAAAACCTACCGCTGCCGCGCCGCACCGCGATGGTTATTTGAAAAAAAACAACCGCTACCGCCACAGCGGCGCGGTGGCGGTAGCGGCAGCGGTCGCGCCGCGATGGACATCTCTGAATCGTATCTCATACTTTTATTCTCTAGAGATTGCACTAATAATTTTCAAAAAAAAAAAAAGATTACCTTATTTTGTTCAGTCAATTGTTGTAATGTTCCTGATTGAATTATATCTGGTGTATTTATACGAACACGTATTTGTAATTGTTCAATATATTTCTTTTGATTACGAATTATTTCTTGAAGTTCTTCTATATTTTTAATATCATGAGAATTATCAATTTTTTCGTTTGCGATAATCATATTCATAAATGTTGAAAGTTTTCGATCAGGATCATCAGCACTATGTCGACGTTGTCGAATTGAAGAAGAATCAATTAGACCTAAATGATATTTTATATTATAATGAATATTTATCTATTTAATATATATAGTACATTTTAGTCGTATCAAAAGAGAGCCATCCTTTACAAGAATTAGCCTTTTTTTTCTCAGCTGTTACATCGTCCTAAGTGTCATTCTTGTCATCATCTTAATCCCGAAAGTTGCTGCTGAGAGGGAATGTCGTATTGATTTAAAAGCTACTGTCAATTTGTAGTATCTACACAAAACTCAATTAAGTACCCGAACTTTTTCCAAGAAATTCAACGCTTCTTTGAATTTAAATGATGTATATGATCCCGCGTATCTGAAGTTTTCACTCAAGAACAATTAATTAGTTTGAAAATTTTTCTCATAAGAAGATTATTTAATAATAATTACGAACCAGCATCATATAATAATTTGATAGATTTCATTAATTTTCGATAATAATGTCTTGATTGACGTTCACATTGATAATATTTTTCTTTAAGATGAGCAAATCTTTCTTGCCATTCAAGATTTGAATGTTTCAAAATTTCTATTTTTGATTGAATATCATTCGATGGTAATTCAGTATTCGATAATAATACATCATTATTTAATAAACTAATATTCAATTCTAATTATTATAGACAGAGAAGGAAAGAATGTGCAATCAAAATTAGAAATGAACAAAAAAAAGTTATAAGCAAAAGTAGTGTTATGTGAATTTTTGAAAAAAGAAAAATAAAGCATTGATCTTCACACAATAACGAATGACTTAAACAAACACCTGATGATGATCTCGAACTAGCATTGAGCATAGCAAGACGAGTATCATTTGCACGATGTTGTTTAGCTTTTAATGCTTCAAGTTCATCATGATAATTAGCTAATTCAAGGGCTAATTCTGCTCGTGTATTTGAACCTTGAATATCAATTAATGCATCAAGTTTACGCCATAAAACTTGATTAACATATTTTTGACGTGCTAGTTCTTTGCGTAAATCAAGTAGTTGATTGTGTAATTCGGTTATATTAGGTGTTTTTTCTATTAATTATATTGTCCGATTGAAGAAAGTTTTTATTATGATTTTATAAGCGCAAGAAGAAGAAGAAATGATTGCGCGTATTTATTTGACTGAATTTTTTTTTGTTGTTTTCTACTACTTTAGCAGAACTAAGCAAACTTACTTGCTAATTGTTGAACTAATCCTTCGTTGTCTTGTAGAGCCATTTCAAGTTCATATAGAAGTTCTTCACGATTTAGATGATCAAAATTGGTCAAACGAGGACGATCTTGAATTAAGTAAATAGTTAAGAAAATTACTGCTAACTATGCACCTATAAAGTTATCCATCAATGACAAAGGAATAAAAAATATTCAATATTTTCAATCTACTACAATCAATTGAGTTGATAAGGAAACTCTTTATCCACTAGATGAAAAGAAGCTTACAACCTGGTCAGCTTAATTACAAAACTCATAATGAGAAAGGTCACCATTGATTATAACTTATCTTCAACTGTAGCGATCAAGATTAGGCTGGTCTCATTGACTTCTATTTCTATGGAAAAATGTACGCTAAGAAATTTCACATGCCTAATCTAAGAATGAATAGTCTTGATTTCTGAAAAACCTCACATGTCTCATCCTGCGGGATACTCGAAAATTGGATAAGGGAAATTCAAAGCTTAAAAAATTTTTTTTTGTCGTACAGGACTCTTCCTATCTTCCTTGTAACATATGTAAAATAAAGAAAGAAATAACTTACGGTGAACTACTACTCGTTGAGCATGTTGAACAGTGGACGAGTCATCCTAAATTCAATAATTTGTTTAGAATATTGAAAATTTTTTAAAACATACTCGTCCACTTGAAGATATATCTCGACGAGTTCGATCTAATTGTCGTTTAAGTTCATCGATTTGCTATAATAGATACAAATAAAGAATAAAGAAAAATATATATTGTTTAATTTTTACATCATCTTTCTTTTGAATTTCTAATCTTAAGGCAACATTTGTAGGAGCACGTGCTCCTGAATATTCACTTCGTGAATCTTGATCGGATTCACGAGATTTTGAACGTAATTTACTAATAAGTGCTTCTTTAGCAATATCACTTTGACGTAATTTCTATAAATAAAAACACAAAATAAAGATAGTTTTTTTTGTTTTAAATTTTTATTTATTATTTACATCTATTTCTTGATCTTTATCGATTAATTTTTTACGTAAAGAAGCAATAGTTTGATCACGATTTTCTAAGTCACCTTTAAATTGATTTTCCATTTGCTACAAAAAAAAAACAAATGAATAACAAGAAGTAAAATTCCAAAGAGTAAAGAAAACATTGACTTACTTCATGTCGAAGTTGTGTTCGATTATAATCACTTTGAATAGATTGATGATTTTGACGTGTTTCTCTTAATGTTCTATCAGAATCAGATATAGTACGTTGAAGAGTCTAAAATATATAGAAAATTTATTCTTTTTTTTTTTATTTATTTAATAGAAAAGTAGAGATGTGCTTGTGTTGTGTATGAAGAGAATGAATGTGTTTACATTTAATGTCTGTTGCTGCTAGAAACTAGATATTTCTCTGTTCTTGTTCTTCTATTTTAAATTGGTAAAATAGTTGAGATTTTCTTCTGTCCTTCTTTTTTTCCGTTCTTTACTTTTCTTTCTTTCTTTTTTTTTTAATAACAGGAAGCAAATGTGAAAAACCGCACAGTATTTGTTTTTGCTCTTTTAATGATCAATGATAATAACATATAGTGTTGATAGTGTTTACGAAAAAAGACATGAGATAAAGCATGTGCATATCTGTGAATGCGTTGTTTTTTGTTTTTTGCATATAAATAATATATCTTTCTTACTTGCAGTGAATCAATACGATGCCTTCGTTTCTAAATGTCACTCGTAGTGTTGTATGTATGTTATAATTTAATGTTAATATCTATCTAATTTACTACTACAGATTTTAATTTCATTAATATATTACCTGTATTGTATCTTCATGATTTCGAAGTCTAGCTTTAAGATCATCGATCATAGTTTGATATTGAGCTATTTGTTCAGATGTTATATTTCGCATCTAAATTATATAGATAGAATAATTAAAATATAAAATTTTAATAAAATATTTGTCTTTTTTTTTTATTACTTGAGACATTTCTAATTGTTTTTCTAAGGTTCTAATTCTATCTAAATGAGTCTAGAGACGAAAGAAATAAAATAATAATAATTATTTGTTTTTTTTTTTAAACAAACTTCGTTTTCTTCAATTGCAATATTTAAATCAACATTTGAAATATCAAGTCTTTGTTGACAAATATCAAGTTCATGTTGTTGAGTCTTAGAAAAAAAGAATAGAAGAAAATCAATTTTTTTCTTTTGAAAATATTTAAAAACATTTTGTTTTTTTTTTTACATTAAATGTTTGTTCAATTTGTTGTAATTTAGCATTTATATTAAGAATTTCACGTTCACGATCACGAATAGTTGTTTGTAATTCACTTATACGACGTTCATATTCATTAATATTTCTTGTTCGTTCATTCAATGTTTCTTCACTTCGTTGATCACGTACTAAATATTGTTCTCGAAATGTTCCAATAACTGATGTATTATCCTAATTTTGAAATAAACAAAAGACTTTTGTTTTTTTTATTCTAATAAAATATAAATAAGACTAAAGAATTCACTTGTCGAGTATTATCAAGAATTTTTTCAAATTTTTGATCTCGTCCTGGAGATGCTTCAGTAAAGGTTCGAATAAAATGTTCTTCAGTATCAAGATTTTGTGGAAAATGTTCAATTTCAATCTAAAATGAGAGAAAAAAAAAAAAAACATTTATTTATATCTTATAGAAAATACTTCAAGATCTAATTGAAGATCTTTTCCATCAAATGATGAACGAGCATGTTGAAGTTTCTTAAATAAAATAAAAAAATATTTATTAAAATGAATAATTTCATTGATTATAATTACTTGAATTATATGATCTTTTTCACGAAGTTTTTGTTCAAGTATATCGATCTAAATATATATATATAGACGAATTGAAAGGAACTATTTCTTATTTGTAGAAATGTTTCTTTTTTTTTTGTTTATATATGAACGATTATCTTTATATTACTGAAACAAAAATGAAATTATGAATACATTTTACATTGATAATTAAATTCATTCTAAACCATTTATTCTATGAGTATTTTCTAGCTCACAAAAAAAAAAAAAAGCTCTACTAAAATTATTCAGACTATTGGTGTGTGTAATAAAGTCATTCAATGTAAAAGCATTTACTAATTTCATTATGAGTATATTATAAAAATGACTTGGAAAGTAATATATGTTAAAAAAAAAAAAATTTCTCCTTGTCTGATGACAGATTCATTTAGAGAAAAATTTTGATAGAATGATGATGAATAAAATTTCTCTTCGTTTTATCAATTGATATTACAGAAAACTGTTCTTTTTTAATGTCTTCTTTAAAGAATATTTTGAAAATATCTTTTGCAATGTCTTTTAGAGTAGACAGACACTTTGATTTTATTCTTTGGAAGGTCGTTCATTCTTTTCATTTTTCAATTATTTTAAAATCGACTATAGTTATTTTTATTTTAAGGATAAATTGTAATGTTCAACTAGAGTTTTTTTTTTGTTTCAACTATATGAATTGGTCGGGTCATGTTAAACTTTATTTTTTCAAATAACTCACTATCAGTCACCGATACAGTGTCAATCTTTCATCTATTTTCTCAAGGTTTTATTTAAAAGAAATAGAAATTATTTATGAATACTCTTTCATTTACTATTATTCTACCAATAAAAACTTTTATTAACCAAAAAAACAGATTTCTTTTTTTCTTTCTTGTGTCCATTAAAGACAAAATGAAAAATTCAACAAAAAGAATATATATATACTCGTATGGTTTTATAAACTCAATTAAAATGTAGAAGAAGAACGAAAAAAAATGATTTGAACATTTAAATTATTATTATCGATTTCATTGCTAAGTTTTCTTTATTTAAAATGACATAATTTATCTTTCGATTAAATTAAAAATTATCAATTACCTTAACTTAAAATTCGTCTTTAAAAAATTGTTTTTTTTTTCCTTTTATAAATTGAAGTAAGATGAGAATGTAATTGTTAATGTGTTCGGTGAGAAAATGAGTAAAAAAAAAGCAATAATGGAAAAAAAAAAACGAAATCTTTACATTTTCTTCATTCTTTTTCTTTGTTCTGTTCTACTATTCGAACCAATCAATTGAATATACAAAGAAACAACGACATATTTGAAGAGGTTGTTTAACTCTTTCCATTTATACTGAACAATTACTATTGACATTATGTTTATATGTCATTTGATGTTTCATTTTCTTACCAACTCCTGTTTGTTTTCATTCGTTTGAACAACTTCTTTTCCAACACGTTCTTCAACTGTTGTTAAATTTGTCTATAAACATAAAGAAAGAAAAATTTTATTATTTGAAATAATTCATGTTTTACTTGTGGAGAAACATGACTATTTTGTTGTTCATATTCACGTTGAAGACGATCATAAGATTCAACTAATTTTGTTTTATCTTGCTGAAGATCATGAATTATTTGTTCATACTAATTAAGAGAATAGAAGAAAAATAATAATAAATTAATAAACAAACGATAATATTATTCAATATACTTGATTTAATTGTTTTTCAAGTGATTGACATTTGTTTTCTAAATCCTATAAATAGATATTACATAAGAAATGAAGTTTCTTCTTCTTTTTTTTTTTTAATATACATGAATACGATCAGTTTTCGTTTTTAATTCCTCGGTATACGATCGTGATAGTTCACGTTCAAGTTCTCCATTTTTTCCTTCAGATAACTTAAGAGCTTTGTTAAGACGATCAATATCAGATGTATAGCTCTGAGAAAGAAAAAAAAAACGAAAAGATTGATTTGTATAAGACATATTAATTATACAAACTTGAATTGTTTCATTGGCTTGTTTTAAATTATATTCTACTGTTTGCAGTCGATCTGCAAGCTATAGGAAGAAGTAAATTTTACAAAAAAAGCCCACATGATATTGTTCATTGATGAAATTCTTTAGAAAACCAACTTACACGTGTTCTTTCTGCCCTCATTTGATCAAGATCATTTTGAATAGCTTCTTGTTCTTTTCGAACAGTCTATAACAATAAGCAAAACTCATCAAAACAAAGATCTTTATTTTTTTTTCTTTGTTATCTACTTGAATTTCTGTTTCTCGACGACTATTTAATTGACGATACTGAAAAATGAAAAATTTATATTTGTAAAATATATTAAATTAAACTATGTTATTACTTCTTCTTCATATTCTTGTTGTACTTGTAGACGAATTCGAACTGTAAGATCATTAATATCACGTTTAAGTTGCTAAATAAATACACAAAACAAAAAAAAAAACATTTTTTTGTGGTTTTTATAAAATATCAATTTCATATACAATATTTTCATGATTCACAGTTTGATAATTCGATATAATTTTTTCGTTTTCATATTGTACACTATCTAAATCAGCTTTTATTATTTCATAGTTACGTTTCCATTCCTATTAATAAATTACAATAAATGATTAATGTTAATTTCATAAATACGAACTTCATTTTCTCGTAATATATCTTGAATATCACGTTTTAATGTAGTTATTTCATTTTGATATCGTTTATCATTATCTTCATTATCATGAAATCGTTTTTCATAAATAGATATTTGTGATTTTAACTAGATATATATAGAACAATGAATTCATTAAAAAAGAAAGTTTTTTTTATTTCTTTTACTTCATCATTTCTTCTTGTTAATTCAAAAATTTTTCCATCAACATCACGATATCGATCTATAGTAGCCTATTAAAGACAAAAAACAAAAAGAATATTATCATAAAAAAATAAATCAAATCTATCAAAATTTTTCTTACTTGATATTCACGTCTTAAATTTTGTAATTCATCATTTGTATGATTTCTTTCCTAGAAGAATAAAAACAATATGTCATTTCAATAGTTCAATTAATACACGAGGGAACATTCCCAGGTGTTGAAATGCTTTTGAGTCGGAACTTTGCGCCTCTTGTAGGCCTTGATGAATTATGTCTACTGTAAAAAAAGTTCGTGCCCCTAGCTTGTTCCTGGTGAGATATCGAGGTTTTAGTGAATTTTTCCCATAAGACTCCACATTTGCAGCAAGGCCATATTTTTTAATTTTGATCTGAAACTTTGTCTACATAAACATCTCAGCTAGACTAGTTTACACAAAAATTTTCAGAACTTTTGGACAAAGTCTCTCCGAGATATGAAGCTCTCAACGTATAGGCCGTTTTCCATAGATAGCGTATAAAGCATGCATTTTTTGAAAGCTTCATATCTCCGAGAGACTTTGTCCAAAAGTTCTGAAAATTTTTATGCAAACTAGTCTAGCTGAGATGTTTATGTGGGCAAAGTTTCAGATCAAAATTTAAAAATATGACCTTGCTGCAAATGTGGGATCTTATAGGAAAAATCCACTAATTTCTTGATATCTCACTAGGAACAAGCTAGGGGCACGAACTTTTTTACGGTAGACATAATTCATTAAGGCCTACAAGATGCGCAAAGTCCCGACTCAAAAGCATTCCAACACATGGGAATGTTCCCTCGTCAGTGACGTTTGAAAAATATTATTACTTCGATTTCACTACTCCTTCATTTTTATACGATTTCTTTTATTATCGAATTCTCACAGATTTAATCATTGAAAAGAAGTAGCTTGAAAAAAATATAATTTCCGATAGAGCTTTTTTTTGATGTTTCACTTCTATTTTCTTATGACAAAACATAGTAAGTGTAGAAAAACTATTTAAAATTTCTAATAAAAATTTAATTATTTTCATATTCCTGTTAATTTTCATTCTGTATATTCTCTTTAGGATAATACTGATTAGAGAAAGATTTTCTTACTTGATCTATTTGAGCTATTTGATTTTGATACATCTATGAATTAAAACATACAAAAAACAAAACACATTGATTTTAGTTGTATTATGAAATTTTTACTCGAATTTGTATTTCGTATTGACCTCGTTGTTCATCAAAGATTGGTTTTAACTTTTAGTATAAAGAAAAAAAAAAAAGTTCAAATCATGATTAAAATAAATTAAAAATTACTCTATCATATTCAGTTTGAATTTCATTAAATCGTCGATTTGTAAGATTTAATGTATTTTGTAATTCAATATTTTTTTCGTTTTCAAACTAAAATTAGATTAATTGTTTTTTTTTTTTGTTATATAAGAAAAATAAATAGATATTTACATCTCTATCTCGTTCAATTTGACGTCTTTCCTGAAATGATATGTAAAAGAAAACGAATGTAGAAAACCAACAAATTACTTTTTGAAATTTCGTTTCCATTTCACGCATTTCAAGATTAAATTTTTCAATTTGTATTCTTTGTAACTATTGAAAAAGAAAAACAATGAATATAGAATTTTTTATAAAAATATAAATATATTTTACTTGAATTTCTCTTTCCAATGGTTCAACTTGTGATGTTCTCTGTAAAATAATAAGATTTTTTAATAGAAATTATAAATTTTTTATTTAAAAGAAGATACAATTCTAAAGTATAAGCTATCATTCAAGCACTTTATATCCAACATTTTTGGATGAAGATTCTTATCCTATCGAATTGTACTTTAATATTAACTTTCTATTTGTAATAACTATGATTGAAATTATTATTTTAAAAGATTTTTCTAATACTTAATTTAATCAATTAATAGATACTTAAATGAACAACGAATTATATTTTAGCAATCGAAAAATTTTATAACTAATTATCAATTCTTATTTCTTTTTAATAATATTAAACATACAAGTTTTTCATATTGTCTTTGTAAATCATCATATTGTCTTCGTTCAACGACTAGTTGTTGTTCAAGATTCATAATGTTTTCATTAGCTGTCTAGAATAAAGAAAAAATAATAAAAATAATTAATATGTAGATAAGTGCATACTCGAAGTTGACCTTGTAAATTTATTCTTTCCTAAATATGAAAGTAAATAAATTCTTTTTTTTTTTCTTCTAAGTAATCAATAAACAAACATACTTGATTATTAGTTTGATCAAATCTTTCATAGTCTTTTCGTGTCTGTGTTTGTGTTCCTTTCTTCTCATTTTTAAGTTCATTTATAAGACGATCACGACGTTTAAGCTTTATATTAAAATTCATTTAATAATGATAAAATAATAATAAATATTTTTACTTCTTCTTCTAAATTTTGTATATCACGTTGAAGTATTTCAATTTGTAATGCATATTGTTGACGAATACGACCTTCAACTTCTGGTTCACGTCTTTCTAATTGCTATTTTATATAGAAATAAGATATTAAATATTAAAAAAAATAAATAAAAATGATATTTACTCGAATATGAGTATTTTTCTTTTCGATTTCATCGTGTAATCGATTGATTTTATCGTTCCACTAAATTTCAATTCATCAGACAAATTAATTACAAAATTTCTCTATGTTTAATTAGATATTCATTTATAGGATTTATCGAGATATATATATAAGTTTAATGATTCGAAAAAACTCTATCAAATTCACATCGGATCTAAAAATATTTATTAAGATCTATAATGATTCATCAGGGTCTAATAGGGCGTATTAGAGGCTGTTAGTGTCCATTAGGAGATATACCAGGATCCCATATGGCCTATTATGATTTGGTAGGGTCTATGTTCTCATCCTCACCATCATTCTAGTCTTTGGTGGGTTCCACTGAAATTGTAGATACAAATAAATAGAGATCGGATTAGGTTAGAATTCTTTTTAAATTTATTTGTGTCATATAGTGATCTATTTACTTCATCACGATCTCGAATCATTTGTGCAACACGATTTGTTAAACCGGATACATTTTCTGCATCACTTTGAAGTTGTAATGTTATTTGAACAACTACAGTTTGAAGATCCTGTTCAAAGAAAAGAATAAATAAAAATGAATAAAAATAGATTATAACGTACTTGAACTTGTCGAGCATCTTCGATAACATCAACAGTCTAAACGATCAAATATATAAAAAATAAAAGTCTTATGAATTAATAAGAAATAACCTTGGAACATGATGTTGGCTGATGTGATAAAGGAGGTAACTATATTTAATGAAAAATTCTTAGTATAAAAATATAATTATTTTTAAACATACGCCTAGATTTCGATTGGGTGCATTAATAAGTTGAGTTAAGCTTTCAACTTGATTTCTTAGATTTGCTTCACTTCGTCGAAGTTCAACACATTCAGCTCGTAATTGCTAAAATAAATATTCTTCAATATGAATCAATTCAAATAAATTTTCTTACATCAACAGTTTCAAGATGAGCTTGCATTTGAGAATTCAATTCATCAATTAAATTTTGACTATGCTATAAACAGATATATATATATATTTATGTTAAATCAAAATAAAAAAAAAAAGACTAACTTCATCTGTCCATTGCGATGTTGATGAATGAGATGGAAGCATCAATGTAAATGGTGTACGTAAGCGAATCGTTATTTCATTGATGGCTTCTTCAAGTTGCTATCAGATTTCAAAAAAGAAAACAAATCGGTTTTTTTTTTGATTGTGTTCTATGCAATTTATACTTGAATTATCCGATCTCGATCATTAATTGTCTGACGATATTCTTCAATATTAATATTCGAACTTGTTTCATCATGCTATAAGATATAAAAATACTTGATAAATTATTCTCTTCAATAATAAAAATCATAGTTCCCAAGCATAATAAAATATTTGATTTTCATATTTTTTTAATTAATAAATTATCGTGAAGTGTAGCTGTTTTATCATTTGCCTTAAAATCATATATCTGTATATAAAGCATAAAAAAAAAAGCAAATGCCAATGGAATGACATATTATAGTCAATGTGATCAAAAATCAGTGTATTATATAAAGCATCACAATAGACATCTTGCTGTAAAAATTACTTTCTCATATGACCATAGTGCAAAGTGAAAAATGGAAATAAGAGAAAAGCATAGCGCTGAATACAATTAAGCATTGTGAATACAAACCAGAGGACAAGAAACACGAATTCGAGCGAGCAACGGCTAAAATACAATGTATTTTATCTATTTTAATATTCATAATTTTTTTTGCAAAAAAAGTTACTAAAAATAATTTAAAAAAAAAAATTTATTTTAACTCCTTTTCATAAGTTTCAAATTCTGCTGTTTGTTTTTGCTGTTGTTCAACCAAAGTCTAATTAGATAAAAAAAAAAAAAAAAAGTTAAATAAAAATATAAAATAAAAAGAAAAGAATTTTTTTTTTTCTACAGCAATGCGAGCTTCATAATCAGCTTGTAAACGTTGTAATACTCGTTCTGATTTTGATTGTTGTTGTTCATAATTTTTAATATCAATTTCATATTGTTGAAGTCGTCGACGAGCACGATCTAATTCAGTAAGCGTCTAATCAAACAAAAACAATGAATATTTATTCATTCAAGGTAAGTTTTATTTTTTTTTCATTTTACTTCATTTGTTTGCGGTAACGACATTTCGAGTTGCTGTGAAAATATATTAAATGGTAAAATGAATTTCTTATGCTTCTTTCTCTTACTTTTTGTAATGAATTAACTTGTTCTTGCAATTTTCGTTCTCGTTCTTTATATTCGTTAAGCTCAGCTTGTAAACTACTATTATTTATAAATGTATTTGACATTCCAGGCGTTGTTGTATTGAAATCTATATCAATTGACGATGTTACTGTTTGAATATTATGACTAACTGCTGGTGTTTTTATTATTAATTTTTCTTGTTCATCATCATTAGTTTTATTACTATTTAATTGAAATGATTTTCGAAGTGTTGCATTTTCTTGACGAATTCTTTCCAATTCTTCATGTAATGCACGACGTTCATCATCATAGTTAAAACTGTAGACTGTTTGACGATTATCAGTTTGTTCGGATTGGGATTGAATGCTAAATATAAACAAAAAAAAAATGTTTTAATTATTGTGATTCGGATTTTGTTGAGTTCAAAAAAAAATGTCTAATATAGAACACATGAACTTTTGATTCATAATCGCGTAATCTATACTAGATTCGTAAAAGAAGAAATATTATAATAGAAGTACTTGAGATACTGCTGCACGTGTGTACTTAGTGTTTGAACGTAATCGAATCATTTAACGAATTGAAAAGTGCTAGTATCACTTTTATGATTCTATGATTACGTTCAATAGCTAAGTAAACTTGAATTGAACATAAAAAAGAAAAATGATACTTGAAGGATATAAGAAAAAAAAAGAATTTCTATTTATTTTATATTTATTTCATGTTATCACACAAATAGATCACCTTGTTTCCAAACCTTTATCGACGGTTTTAAATTCACTATCAACTGCATGTTGTATCACTGCCGAATGTGTATTACCCATTGTGTAATAATGAATTTCAGCACCTTCAGACGTTTTTCATCTTTTTAAATTTCTCCTTCATTTTCAACGGCTCATTGTTCTACTTTTAAGGCTTCCGTACCACATTCATTTAAATATACAGAACAAAGACAAACCGCACAGTTTTGTTCGCGCTAGAGAGAGAGAGAGAGCAAAAAAAAAGGAGAGAGAAAGAATCTTAAAATCACATTATTCAATAGGTTCATTTTGCCTCATCAAACGTCAGTTTACTTGAGAATAGAAGGACACATGCACATATATGATGTTAGTTTCTAATAAAAACATACCGTTGTTGAAGTCGTTCAATTTCATTTTGTAACTGTTGTACATACGACTAAATAAAAGAAAATAGATAATAAAGAAGAAAAAAAAAAAAGACTTAAGAATAATTGTACTGTTTGAGTTTGACATTCATTAGTATTGGTATCGGATTCAGTATGTTCTTCAAGGAAATAAATACGTAATTTTAAATTAAAATTTTCACGTTTGAGTTCTTGAAGTTCCTAAAATAATATTTAATATTTAGCTAATTTATTAAGAATTGAATTCTTTCTTTTGCAGCCAACCTCGTCTGTCATCTTGTATTTTATCTCTCAAGTGTTATACTACCATATCGACCACATTATAGGCATGAAACGCGTACGCATATACATTAAGATATCTTCTCTCTCTCTCGTTTTCTCATGGTCGGACGAATGCTTGTTACACGATTTACTGAGACCAATAAATGAAAAAAAGAAAAAAGAAAGAAACCATCAAGATTAAGCAACAAAAATGCCTTTGTTATTGGTTGAAAAAAAAGAAGAAAACGAAGTAAAATGACGTTAATATATAAATATACATAAATCGATAGACACCCACGTTAGAAAATAAAAAGGATAAAATATGTCAATATATTTTAATAGAAGAAAAAAGATTCATATGAGAGATTTTAATCTGTCATCTACACAATCATAGAAAACGAGTAAAAGTAAGAAAAAAAAAAGATTTAAATGTATATAGATCTCTCCTTTTATTTTTAGAAATCCTTGAATATTTTCAACATTCATATAAATATAATGAATTTTTTCGTGATTTATTTATTCTAAAATGGTTTCTTTTCAAAACATTGATCTATTTACTACCCATCGATGTTTTTTTTTTTTTCGTCTTCGCATATTGAATCAATTTATTAGAGTTTCTTATCAACTTTCTTATTTCTTCAACGACCTTCAATAGATTCTTTCAATCGTAGACTTAACAAAAGGAATGTAATAATCATTAAATATAAATTCTTCATTTTATTCTATCTTAAGATACCGTACAAGATATTCAATTTTCTTTTTTCTTTGTTTTTTTCAAAAATATTTTTTAAGGTCATTCATTGAATTATTTATCGGATAGATCAAAGTTTTATATTTATAACAGGTTATCTGATACACTTTTATCAAAAAAAAATAATAAAAATAAATTTAACCGCATTTAAATTCTTTTACCTTCTCTTAAGTGATTGTTTTTTTTCTTTCTGGTTTCAATACCAATAAAAAAAAAAAAACAGCTTGACTAAAACTCGAGAAACTTTCAAGGCTATCAGATATCAATAAACAGAACGAAAGTGATTATGAATAATCATTCAAAAGATTTATTTTATTTAAAAGTAACAAGAAATTATATTATATTAGTATTGTTTTCGATCTATAGACAGTATGAGCGATGATCGAGTAAGCATTTATATTCAGATATAGCAATACGTTTTATACTGATAGAAAATTTTTTATTTTTTTTTTTCAAAATTCTTTAATCATAAAGTTTCTAGTATTGGAAGAACAATGTCTATCTAACATTCATGAATGTATGTCTAGAATTTATGGTGACCAAGATTTCATCACTCTACGAATTCTAAATAAAATTTCATTTTGAAAAATATACAATTAAGTATTGATGATAATCCTTTATTTAGACAACACAAATATTGAAATATTTAGAAGCTTAGTCATCAAAAAAAAACCTCAAACCGCAATTTAGTAAATAGTAGATTCTTTTAGTATTTCAAATGTATAATACGTAATCAATTATATATGACTAAAATCGATTCAAACGATCAGTTCTTTTCAACACCATAGTGGATGATGGAGCATTATATGATTATAAGTAAGATGATCGAAAAGGTATTCCTATATTTAGATATGAATGTTTAATCAATCAGAGCTTCTAACACCTATGGATCGAGGACTGTCTGAACTACAAATAGACAACAACACGAATGCAACAGAATATTTCATCTTGTTTTTAAACAGTCCTTGTAGCATCTTGGAACTACTACTTATTTCTGTGATTAAAACAATAAATTGGTGTTCTACAACTGGGTGCAAGCTCGCCGAGTCAGTTCGGATCTCTCATACGCGATCATACTGGAAACTGACCAAATAATTAATCAAATTCAAATGTTCCGAAATGCTTTTAACTTTTCAAACTACTAATGTATATAAAAGCATAGGATGTGGGTGTGAGTGTCGCTCTATTACCTTAAGATTTACGCTCGCCTCCACTTACCTACACCCATATATGTATGTATTCACAATTATGACGTTTAACAGCAATATTGTATTTCATTCTACCGTCATCAACAACAAACAAACGAATACTTAGCGAAACTAATCAAATTTTAGAAGCAGAAAAAAAACGACTGTGAAAGTATTTACCAATTATCGGTTATAGCTATCCGATTCGAACTCGAGGTAATTAATAAAGTGTTAATTATCGTCCAATTTCGAAAAGTTGTATCCATGCAAAACACTTATTAGATCACCCGACCCTCTGCTTAGAGCTATAGTTTTAGTCAGTTATTTTAGGTCATTTGTAAAATCGACTTTTGAACTTTGATTTCAAACTTTCGGTAAATTCTCAATGAGATTAGTTGAACTAATCCAATTGGTTCCTATTTACATTTTTACGAAGTCTAAAATTGAAAGTCGACAAAATCATTAGAATGCTCATAACTCAAGAAGAAAGCCCTAAGGCACGATTCCCGAACTTTTTTTTATTCTAACACGATCTTCAATAATCTGAAATAAAAAGGATAATAACTAATAAAACCTTTTTTTTCTAATCTTATGAAGTGTAAACTCTTAATAAAGGAAACAATGAACACACTTAGTGTGATAAGTAAAATTATGAAATTTAACTACTTCTATTTAACTTTCAAAAAAAAGAAGAATTCTCATTGTTTCTAAAACAATTACATACTTTATCATAATCACGAACTGTTTTTGATGAACTAGAACTCAAATCAGATATTGGAGTACTTGTATATGGATTTTCTAGAAAATAAATGTTCTACGATCAAACAAAAACACAGTCGACATTGATACCTTCAGCTTTATGTGAAGAAATGATTTCTTGATTAATATCATCCATAATAATGACATACAATTATTGATTATTACCTAGAATCAATATCAATAGAAAAATTCATTTGTCTCAAAATTGTAACAATAAATTACCGCCGCTTATGGTTCATTGATTGTTGCTAGTAACAACCTTAAAATCGTATATTTTCAATAATTGTATAATTAATTGATTGAAAAAATAAAATCTCATTCTCTCTACTTTGATAAAATATTTTCCAAAGAGGATTTGAATCATTTATTTTCTTAGAGAAAATAATCTAGATGGCGCTATTTTGCAATTTATCTGTTTTATGATAACGAAAGTCTTAATATAACACAATATTGAATACTATTCAATATATAACAAATCGATTAGTATCATGTGCACATTATTGCTAAAAGAAATTTGAAATTTACTTCAAACAGATTCTTTTATGTTTCTCATCATTTTTTGTTCTTGTACGATAATAGTGAATTAAAAACATATAAATATAAAAGGATATGTTACCTGTGACTTTGTCCAATATCTTCATCTCGTCTAATGTCTTGGATTCATCATAACTTTCGTTATCTATTACTGTTGATATTTACTTGATGAATATACTTTTTTTTTTGTCTTACATGTTCTTTTTTTTCTATTGTGGTTGAAAAAATAAAAAAAAATAGCGCAGTGACTACTACCGTTTTTCCTTTGGCATCATTACTATTGTTGTTTTATATGATATATTATAGTATCGTTGACTTTGAAAGAATGAAAAGTAAGAAGACAATAAAAAAATGAGGTTTTGCGAAAAAGAAAATTATATGTCGGTCTACAATAAGTAATAGAATAAAATTTGTTGTATTGAATTACAAGCAAAATGAAAATTCATTTGTTAGAATAACCTTGAAACATTTATCAAAGAAATTACAAGATGACTTGTAACATTTTTTGTATTAGATGATTGTATTTCTCTATTGCACAGTTTTTCAGCTCTACTCAAAATTGAAATGCATTATTAAATTTATAATATTCTTCAATATTACCTTATTTTTTCAAAGATAAATATTTAAATCGTTGTTAGAGTTGATAATTTTTTTATTGTAATACAAATGTCTTTTATAACTAAATTTATTAATGAAAAAAACTGATGCCCGCGGTACAAAAATTATATATAATTCATTTTTATTTAGGAGAGTGTGTATGAAAACATCCAAAAACCTAGAGGCACATGTCAAAATTTAAATTTTTGGCTCATTCGAATTTATTATAGTAAAGTTAGCATTGATCGACTTCTAACATCAGTGTTTTATCCAGCGTAAAGGCTATGAGAGCGGCACTCTTCCGAGAAGGTAAATAAGTTTTAGAAAGAATAAGATCAATATAACTACTCTAAAGATATTTTTTTAGATAGATTTGGGGAAATTAATAACGAGTGCAAAGTCTTTTTCGTTTGTTCATGTAATCTAACCATATAATGTTTCATTTAGCTCAATTAGTTTTAAATTAGTTCATTGTAAATTGTCGCTTCTTTTTAACGTTTAGATTACTTTTCGTCAGGATGATCGAAATTGAGATAAATACAGATGAAGATAGTCGGTGACCTGATCTCTCATAAATAACAAAAGTTTTTATTTGACAATCCATCTTTTTTCAAAAACTTTTGATGACTTCCGGCATCCGCTATTCGAAAAATAAGTTGTTTTTGATTGCATGCACCATCATGAATTCTCGAAGGAACTTCATTGTACCCAATGACTTTTTTTGGTCGAAGGAAAGTGAAAAATTGTATCACCTTTTATTATACATATACACATTTATATAATTAGAGTGTCATTTTTTAGAGATTTTTGAGTCATGGAACTTTCCTAGATACTGCATTCTGTATAGACTGGAAATCACAGAGAATTTTTGGATATTTCTATAATTTCTATTTACCTTATCTTTCAAACAATATTAAGATTAGAAAGTATTTTTTTAAAAAAAGTTGAAACTAAATTCTCGTGATAAATATTCTACGAAAAGGAAAGAACGTAATGATAATGAATTAAAAGTATGATTATAACAGGCTTGATAGTAAATACGATAGCTTCTCTTAAAAAAAAAAGTGTTTTTGCGTGTTCTTTCAACAACTAAAGTCGTCCTTCCAGAATAAAGAACTTGGATAAAACACTGTCTCCTTACTATCAAAAACAAATATTAATGAGTTATCTCATACATATGTATTAAGATTATACGAATAGAAGTGAGAGAACTTTTTCATACAATACACTCTACGATAAAGTATACATAGATGAAAAGAATGAGCTGTTTGAAATATCATATATGATTATGATCAGCATTCTTACTCGTATCTTTCTGATTGATCACATATCAATTGCATGAAAAAAAATTCTCTCGAAATTCCCTTACCTTCCTCAAAGATGTGAAGGTCAAAAATGTTTTTCTTTTTTCTAAGAAACTATGTCATTTGCTCCAGAACAGAGTTCTAATTTATGCGAGATGAAAATGCTCGAGGTTGTTTTCCTCTAGGCTATTCACCTCGAAACTGAAAGTATAGACCACTCTGTGTATCTATTCTAAACTTTTTCTTTCCAACGCTTGTTATCATTTTTTTCACCTTTATATGCTCTATCGTTTGGTGTATCGTATGAAAAAATTCTCTCATTTTTGATTATGTAATCTTAGTACACATGTATGAGATAGTCCATTACTTTTGTCTTTGATAGTAAAGGGATAGTGCTCGAAATTGATTAAGGCTAACTTTACCATAGTAAATTTAAATGAGCTAAAAGTCAAGGTTTAGTACTATTACACAATACCATTTCGAATGTACATAAAAAAATCTAAGAATTAAATTTTAGCGAGTGCTTCATACATCGAAGTTATGACTGGTGTTCTCGTAGAGGCTTTTTTAAGTTCATTTATCGATTTCAGCAAAATATCACGTGATACAGATATATTTTTCAGTTCGATAATGGCCATATTAGACGAACCATTAGTAGTTGACGGTTTTTTAACGGATGTTACTTCAAAAAATGTACCAGGTATAATGAAAATCTCTTGTGCATCAGGGAATCCGGAAAACTCACTGTTATCTATTGTTGTTTCACACGGTTCATTGAAATAAATAATAAAAAGTGTACTGATTTTATCTTCATAAAGATTAGAGCGCGTACTATACCGTTCTGCGACTGAACGAGATTTACTTGCACACTTAATTCTGCGCATTTCAATAAAGCTTGCTCGATGATGGTATGTCCAAAGATAAAAATCCAGTTCAGTCGTAGTTAGAATTTCTCCTCGATAAGCACGTCCGACGAAAAAACTATGCTTGAACTCGGATAAACCGATGAGTAGTTCCATAACAAACATTTCATCTTCTTTATGATAAATATACTTAAAGAAAGGAGTCAGCTTTGATAGAAGAATAATTAAATACTTCAGATCATCGGTTTTTTCAAATTTTTCAAGAATAGATAATACTGCTGAATCACGTCCCCAATAATTTGTATCGTAAGTTTGAAAAACGATCTTTTTTATGTGATCTGTTCGACTAGCTTCATTCGTTTTAAACTGATTGATTAAATACGTAGTGAGACGTAACTTCATTATCTTTGTGGCTAGAACGGATTTGTCTTCGTTATTAATATTTTCATAAATTTGCCACCACTTTAATTGACATACTTGATTATTTCTTCGTTCATTATTATCACAAATCACTAGAGATGATTGTAATACCTGACGAATTCGTTCATCACGACATTCTTCCACTGCAGTTTTCCCATATTTATTAATGGTTGTAGTCGAGCATCCATGTTTAAGAAGCAATTCAACAATTTCAAGATGACCATACCAAACAGCAACATGTAATGCTGTACTTCCATTGGACTCTAAACGATTTATTTCTTTCAATTTCATTGTTGTTAACATTCGTTTTACCATATCAATATCACCAGAGCGACATGCCAGATAGAAAATACTGACTGGTGTGTGTCTTGTTGGTTGACTATTCAAGTTTCCCATGATGAATGAATGAGGCAATTTCTGCAACAATAAATTACGAGTTCAGTAGGGACTGCAGAATTCAGAATTTAAAAATCCGATCGGTAAACAGTCGATTAGCTCACTAAGATAAATTCTCATTAGTGAATAAACTACTAAGTACCACACTAACCTATCAACCCCTCAAACAACAGAGTTCTGTTACGACTAACAGAATACAAACTTTCAATCGGCATACCAAAATCATATATCTTCAACAGGAAAAAAAATTCTAATGAAGAATTCTAACATACCAGAACAGAATTTGAAAATCTAATCAACACCAACACATATATACGTTATCTCTGATAACATAGAATTCTACAGAGTTCTGAGCGGAATTTAAAAAGACCAAAATGGAATAGGTTGTCTTTGATAATACAGAATTCTACCGAATTCTAGGCAGAATATAAACAGACCAGAAAAGAATTGTACTATTCTTTGATCGCTAGCTCGGATAAAGTTTGTCTTGTGGAACATAGAATTCTGCTTGGTAGGCATTCTACAACTGCTGGAGTTCTGAACGTAAAATCGAATAATTTTCTGCTTCCTTTTATTAGTATCAACTTACGAAAAGTTTATTTGCACGTAGATTCTAAATGACAAGAAAAGATGTACGAATGATTTTTTTTGCTCGTTGCCTAAGCCTTAATACAACATTTCATGTATTTTGTTTCTAAACCATTTCAAACAAAATATGAATCCAATGATGACAATAGTAAGCTTAGTGGATTTTGTGCTAATATATATATATATATTAGTTGATGAATCATCAGAATTTCTATAAAATTATATACAAATTTTTCCCCAGTAAGAAATTTTACATGTGAAAAGTTGTCATAACAATACATCATATTGATTATGGGACAAACGCCATGTGTAACTTATTCTACGACGAGTGTAGTTACTCTGTCAAGTATGCCTAGTGAGTTTTATGTTGCCTGCCGCAATGGGGACGTCAAAAAAGTAGAACAAATATTACCTCAACTAAATATAGCTCATATCAATTGTCTTGAATCAAATGGAAGTAGTCCGTTACATGCTGCATCTTTTTATGGTCATAAAACTATTGTACAAATGCTTCTTGCAAATGGTGCAAAACCATGGTTAATAAATAAATATAAAATGACACCATATGAAGAAGCTGCAAATGATGAAATTCGTTCATTGTTCCGACGTCCATTGGACTCCGATATAAATCGATTTTCAGAAGATGACACTAATAATAAATGTTTAGAATTAATTTCGAAAAGGAAAATAGACGAAAATGGTAATCAGATACCAAACGGTTGGATTAATGGTTATAAAAACATTGGTAAATATTCTCGCTGTAAAGATATCAAACTTATTATTCGTGCACAAATTATTAAATATTATCTTGCAAGTTTACAACAATCAAATGATTGTGCTCGTGAATTACAACAAATATTAAAACATAATGTTCCATCTGATCATCGTGATTATAAAAATGCATGTTTTCTTTTTGATGAATATTGTTCTCGAAATCAAATAGAATATCTCATTCGTTTATATACACTTGAAACAAATTTTTATCGTGCTCTACATTCAAATGTTGAAATATTTACTGTTGAAATCTATTCACAATTAGAAACTCTCAAAAATCGATTTTTTCAAGGTCAATCTTATCGTGGTCTATCAATGACAACTAAAGATATTGATGAATATAAGTGGGCTATTCATAATCAAGGAACATTAATTGAAATTAAAACATTAACATCAACATCAGTTAATTCCAAAGTTGCCTATAAATTTGCATGTGGTCAAAAAATGAATAATACTGATTGTCATAGAGTATTCTGTGAATTTCATTTTGATCGTCGATGCAGTACAGCTATTGATCTTCGACGTAATTCTGATAAAAATTTACTTTGTTTATCTGCTTATGAAAATGAAGCTGAAGTACTTGTTCTACCAGGTACACTATTCGAAGTACGTGCTGTTCGTCAAAAAAAAGATACAAATCGATATACAATTATTTTACATAATATATATGTACCACTACATATCATATTGGATGCATTTAAAGAAGTACAAACATGATACAAACATTTAAAATATTTTATTTTATTTAAAACTAGAAAGATTAATTAAACGATTAAAAGTAGAAACCTATTTGTCTACTTTGAAAGTATCCCTGTTTGTAGAGAGAAACGCTTGAATAATTATTATTCCCATAAAGATGCACAATAAAGTCTTTCAAGTGATTTTAATATAATTCGAACTGTTTGTCCCATAGAATCGAGAGCAATGGACCATTGATAAAGCATCAATTTGACATCATTACTATCATTAAGATCTACTGTTGCAATAGTCGATGTTGTCGATTTCTTCTCAGATACTTTCATTGTTGTTTGTTTTGTAGTTATTGTGATTTGTTCCTGATACAACAGCAAAAGAAAAGAATTTCTTTCAAAGAGATAAATAAGTCTTATTTACCATAGCTACTTGATTTACGTTATTAATAATAATTTCAATTAATTGATTAAATGTTTTTGGTTTAGATTCTTGTACACCTTGAATAATATTATTCAATGGTTTTAAAGATTGTTGTGTTATCATATTAAATAAATAATTATCAAATCGTTCTGATTTGCTTAAAACTTGTACAAACTTATGAGTAACATTTTTTAATATTGAAAATATTTGTTGAACTTTTTGACTATTTAAATTCGGATGAATACTTTCCAAAAGCCATTCAGGTAAAGTGCCATTGGTAATAAGTTCACTATGAATTCTATCAATACGAGTTATATTAATAACACTGGCAATAAAATGTTCTAAATCAAAATTATTTTCAGCAGCAGACCATATACCACTACCTAATTTTTTATAATCAATTTCATGCAAAATTATACGAATAATTGCTTCATTATCAATATTTTTTCGAAGTTTATTCATTGTTTCATTATTATTTAGTATTGAGATTGCAACATTAGTAAAATTAACATCTTGTACTGTATTAGCAATCATTTGTTCGATTATGCGACCTTTAGTACGACTAGTACTACTAGCAGTACCATTTTTTCTTATATTTTCATTAAATAAAAATCGTTTTTGTCGATGATGTTCAGTTGGAAATGATACAGCACGATAATAACGCATAGCAAGTTGAGCAATTTCTGGTAGTATAGTCGTTAGACTATCAACTGTACGCAGAAGAGAACAAGAGCTTGAACTTAATTGAGCAAAAACGTCAACTTGAAATAAAATAACACAAGAGAAGAATATAAATAGACAATGCATCTTTCAAAAAATACCGATCAAACTTATTATATTCTTTGCTGACAAAATCAATTCTATATATATATATATGTATATCATTTATTTTTAAACCAATTATTTCTCAAGTATTTACCAATTAGAAGCATATAGATTTAAGTATAAGTAATGATATGTTAACAACATTTCAAAGTAAATAGATATTAAGATGCTTTTTTTTTTTCGTTACAAATAATTTCTGCAGGTTTGAATAATTTATTCAATTTACATGGCTGTTATTTTTTACATTAAATTTTCACTAAGAAAACAAAATTGTAGATTTTCCTTTGAAAACCTATTTCTTATAGTCGTCCACGAATTTTTAAAAAATAATACAAAGCACCAGCAATAGCACCGCCAATATGACCTGCTGAGCCAATATTTTTTTGACGATGTGTTATAGCTCGATAGAGATCGTATGCTATAAATGCTCCAACACCAACAATAACTGGCATAGGCACAATAAAAAATAAAAGAACAGTATCAAATGGACGAAGAAATGAATAGAGTACTGTCATTCCCATTGTTACACCTAAAAATAAAAATGCATGAACAAAATCATTCATTACTTCACGCACTTTAATTTAGAAAAAAAAAACTGCGCTGTGATGCAACATTTTTGAAAAATAAATACTACATTATATAGACATCTCCTGAGTTTTTCTGAACAAGCTTCGAGTTTTTAAAAAAAAAAGAGTCTTCTTGAAAATTTACCTAAACATATTGTTCGTATTGTAGAATCGATGCTCAAGTTTTCTGATGTTTTTCTTCTATATAGTAATACAGATATTTATTAATTACTTTTTTAATAGAGATTCACAAGTGAGTACGTCTTGTTTTGCTTGAAATCGCGCATATATAGAGAGAAAACTAAACTAACCGGAAGCACCAACAGCTGGTAAACCAGGTCTTCGATCATAAAATCGTTGATAAAATATATGACCAAGTGAACAACCAACTGCACTAACAAGAAATAATTGAATAAACGCTGGTAAACCAATATGATTTAAAACAAGAGGACCTATAAAAATATAGTCATATATAAACAAAAAAAAAAAATATACAAGAAAAATAATGTTATACCAAAACTATATAAAACGAAACTATTTATCAAAAAATGTGTTAAATCAAAATGACTAAAAGCTGAAGTAAGAAGAGTCCATACACGATGTTGTCGAACAACACCATCCCAAGATACCACTGAAAATTTACATGTAGAATTATTTATTTATTTTTGTTTTCAAAAAAAAATACATACTAAAATTTTTTGTCATAAACCATAATAGACGTTGATCACGATTTGTTCGAAAATTTGCATAAGAAAATTGCCATGTAACAAAGACAATTCCATTAACAATAATGATTCCAGCAATAATATTTTTTTCATTGATAAATCCAAATGGATATTGATTATTATTACGAGGAGATGAAGGTATTGATGAACGAAATTTATCTGGTAGAAGTGTCGATCGAAATGCTCGACGTGATTTTTGTGTGGTTAAATGACGACGACAAATGAAGAGTGTTGATTGCCGAGAGACAAGTGTTCGTACTAATAAATTCATCGTTTCTCTTATATCTAGAGCAGATAAAATAACTTTTTAAACAAAATAATGCCATTTGGATACAAAAAATATAACGGAACAAGCTATGATAGACAACGCGTATGTAAAGGATACTGATAACCTGTTGTACAATTGTCAAACTGTCGTTGGTGTATCGCACATGTTTAGAACTTTTTTCTTGAGTTATTTTTTACTTGAAAAAAAAACAACAGTAAAATACTGAATTAATCAAAATATTTCAATCAATATAAACATGATCATTATGATCAACACTGATACTCAATATAGTTATATGTAAATTCATCTGAAATTTAAATAACATTTTTATTATGTTTATGTTCTTGAACATAAAAATTCAAAAAAGAAAACAAAAGAAGACATAAAATTTATGTTTTATTTTAACGGCGTCTCTCTTGTTTTTGAGCTCGTTGTTGTGCTTTCTTTTTTCGTTCATCATCTTTTTGTTTTTGATTATTGGCATCAATTTTATTTTTTTCTTGTTGTTTTTTATGTGCCTTAAAAATAAAGATATTTCTTTTTTATCTCTAATAAATAAAAAAATAATTTATTTTACGTCGTGTTGTAGTTCTCGTGTTTTTTTTTCACGATCTTCAATAGCTTGTGCATTTGTATTTTGAAATAAATTATTATCATTTGTTTCTTGTTCAATTCCATAATCAATTTCTTCATCGGATATCTCAGAATATTTTGCTAATACTTGAGATTTATGTTTTTTTAATGCAAGATCATCATGATGTTTATTTGAATTATGATCATTAGTTTGTTTTTGTTGCTTTACGGTTGATTCCATTTGATTCATAGCATTAATCAATGCATTATTGATAGCATCATCATCTTCGTTTGTCCCTAAAAAAATTACAAAAATGTTCATAGTATTTTATTCTTCTATATCTAGATTATTAGATAAAAATGACTATAAGCTTTTTGCTGAAGAACAGGATATATCTAGGCTTATAGAAGAAGACTTCATCTATCTAATGGTGTATGCAGTACTAAGTTCTATTGCTTACTGATGTCCGTCGAATCCGGTTACAATAGGCAGTGGAACTTGATAATGCACAAATTATTAGAAGCTTATATATATATATTCTTTTCTATAGTGAAAAAAACCATCGAAAAACTTTGAGTTTTTTTTTATGATTTATTACCGATTTGACTTCTATTAGAGTTTGAATTGTGACCATTAGTGTTTTGTAATTGATACCAACGATCAAGAATTTGTTGACTAAGATTATCAATATTATGATCATGCTAATATAAATGAAAATAATATATTATTCTATTTTTTAAATGTTGATGTTACTTTTAAATCAAGATCAGAGAGTAATTCGGCAATAGCTACTTGTTTTTCTTCATCTGTTTCACTGTCACTTGTAACAATACCCATTAAGTATTGAACAAAATCACTCATATCAGCATCATTGGATTGTAATTCATTAAGTAATGATCGAATCCATTGATCGAATGATGAGGATAATGCCTCTGCCATTAGGCACACTCGTGTCTCGATCTATAGAGAGAGGAAAAACATTATAATTTTATCACATTTGAATAATGTTTTTGGAATGAAAATTAGGTCAAATACACCACCAGCATCAAATTTTTACACTATATTGTTGCATTACGGAGAAAATCGATTTTTGCGATGTAACAGCGGGTTTGTATTCTGATATTTTCAGTTCTCAATCAAACGAATATTATATTCAGAATCATTACAAAAAACCTTTATCGAATAGAATACTCAATAATATTGAGTATTCTATTCGATGCAGATTTTTCTTTTAAGTCTGTATAAAATATTTGTTTCATTGGGAACTAGATTCCTAATCGTGAAAATCGCCATACGAATTCATATGTCTTAAAATCTAAAAAAAGAAATCGAATCAATAACAAGATTACAAGGCTTGGTGTTTTTGGATTGTTTCAATTTATTTCCGAACTTCGAGTCGCTGGAGTCTTACATCATTGACGAAAATGTAATTGCTTTGAAAGATTTCATTGGATATTATCAAATGCATCAATTCGATAGATGACAGTCATTTACAATCAATTTACTCTTCGTATGGAAAAAAGACTATTAGCAAAGTCTTCATTTTGTATCACGAGGATGTGAAGATCGAAGAGTCATATGTTTTTCATTCAAATCTTGTTGCAAAGTTCCGTTTTTTTTTCGAGATAATGAAAACAAAGTCCAAC